GGGGAAACTTGTGGATTTACTTTCATTTTGGTTTGGTTTCCTGTAGAAACCAATTCAATTAGAAAGAGTTTGTGGCAAGTTTGGGTTTAAAACCTAATACCCAGAACTGCAGTCAACTCTGCTTTACAGAAGTGAGTTGCAGGTGTTTCACGGGTGTAACTGTTTTTCTTTGGCACACAGTACTCATTGTTATTTGCCAAGATTTTAGGAGGGAGTCATGAATAGATAGGAAGAGAATCGTTATATTCTATTTTTATGGCCTTCCATATTATTTGTACTGATTTTGATAGTTCCATATCTGAAACAATGTTTTCAGAATGCAGAATAACAGGCAAAGCATGGTGTTTTTTTTTTTTCTTCTTTTTCTTGATTAGCTTTTGTACATGCTTAGAGTATCGTTTCAAAATTCTGGAATGACATTTGAACTCTGCTTTCTACTTTGCATTTCCCTCTCAGTTATTGGTTGATTGATCTGCTATCTCTCTCTGTAACCTCAGCGTCTGGAGTCCTCACAGCTCCTGCATGCACCCTGGCCTTTAGCAACATGCAGAGCTTGAGACTCAGATCTGTATCCTGCCCTTGCTTCAGTGGGAATAGATTCCTCTCTTTCATCTTTCAGAGTGATAGCTTACGGTGAACGATGTCAGATTCGTGATCTCCAAAGAAGATTTAGCTTCAGGACCAGGGACCAGCCTTGATCACTCAAGAGCTTTTGTATAGCAGAGTTTTATTAAAGTATAAAAAAGGGACAGAGAAAGCTTCTGACATAGACATCAGAAGAGGGATGGAAAGTGCCCCCCTCCCTAGTCTTAGCAAGGGAGCTATATTCTTTTAAAATTGATTATTACTGTAAATCAGAAGAATGTATCAAGCTGTTAAGGGTCTTACTAGACCCACTCTCACAATTTACATTTTAAGATGACAGAATTAGAACTAACAATAGAAAGATCTTACCAGACCCACTCCCATAATATACATTTTAAGATAACAGGATTATTCAGAAGGTTTTCAAGAAGGAGAAACTGTCCTCAAGCTGGATATATTGTTGCTATATAATCCTTAGTACAGAGTTTAAGCTGAGCTGTTTTATTGTATAATCATCAGCTCTGGGCTTAAAGAAAAAAAATGTTTTATGTGACTAAGGAATGTAGAAAAAATGTCCTTTTCTCTCCTTGGGAACTCCAGATCCCTATCTACTCTTTGAGAGCCCCAGACCCCTCTCTCCTCCTAGGGGACGCTGGACTTCTTATCAGCCTGCCTAGGAACTGACTCTCTCAAGAGCATTTTGCACACCATTCTGTAACAGCAGGAGGAGGAGGAACTAACCACTGATACCAGTTTCTGTGATTCAGGCTCTGTTCCAAAGGCCTCACATTTACCCATTTGCTCAATTCTTATGACAACCATCTCTGATTGGTGCTATTTTCATCCCCATTTTACAAATGAGGAAACTAAGACACAAAAAGGCAAAGACATCTACCAACGCCCCAATACCCTTCTGTCAGACTCGAATGCTTTTCCTTCTTGCTCCAAGTTTCCTGCACTCCCTGGGGTGCTGAGTGCCTCTCATGAACCATGTTCCATGGAACTCATACCATTGTTGGACTGTGGTCCTGCAGACATGGTAACAGTTAGAAAAGCAGGTCTGGGTGTGTCTATCTTCTCTAGCTCTTGTTGGGTAAGCAAGCTGCTATTCAGCTTTGTGTTCATGCTTGACACACACTAGGTACTCCATAGGTTTCAGCTGAACAAATAAGTCAGTGAGTCAGTGAGTAGAATTTGTGCCTATCCAAAGGAATTGAAATCAGGATCTTGAAGAGATATGTGCTGCCATGTTCACTGAGGCTTTATTCACAATATCCAAGACACAGAAACCATAAGTGTTCATAATTAGAAGAATGAATAGAGGCAACAAAAGCATCCATCAGTAGATGAATGAATAAAGAAGATGTGATATATATATATATACATACATATATATATATAATGTTGGAATATACATATATATTGGAATATATTATGGGAATATATGCTGGACTATATATATTCTATATATATGGAATATTTCATATACATATTTGAAAAATATCACAATGGAATGTTATTCAGGCATGATAGATTAGGAAATCCTACCATTTGAAACAATATGAATGGATGTTGATGACAAAGTGAAATAAATGAGAGGAAAGATGAATACCAAATGAAATCACTCATGTAGGATTTAAAATAGTCAAACTCATTGAAACAGAGTAGAATGACAGTTTCCAGGGCCTGGGGAGAGACAGAAAGAGGGAAATGTTAGTCAGAGGGTGGGCAGTTTCTATTATGCAAGGTGGATAAGTCCTGGAGATCTGCTATACAGTATAGAGCCTGTAGCTAATAATACTAAATTGTGTACTTAATATTTGTTTATGGTAGATCTTATATTGTGTTCTCCCCACACACACAAAGTCAATTTTCCCCACATAATAGGGTGGGGAGAAACTTTGGGAGGTGATAAATATGCTTATAGCCTTGATGGTGGTGATAGTTTCACAGGTATATACTTACCTCAATTAAGTGGTGAAGAAAAATAACAGTCAGTGGTTACTGTATTGTCTACTGACCTCCTCCATGTGACAGCTTGGAAGTGAATGGGATCTGCAGTCTGATAGCCAGGTTATGCTTTCGATTATCTATTTATGCTGCTATGGTATTCTCCATCACAGCCCCCTCAGTGTCATCAAAATACTCAAATGACTGCTGTCAGAGTCAGAGGGAACATTCACTGAGCTGCAGTTGAGTTTCCTCTCCTTTTCTACCCCAGTGGCCATTGAGGGGAGGCCAGGTATCTCTGGCTGTAAGCAGGCTCAGCTTTGAGAGCTTCAGTTTGGAAAATCCAGTGATGTGAGTAACCGTTAGTCTCTGCTTTTGCCTGTGATGCAATTCTGTTTGCTCCAAACTGAGACCACATCCTTCCTGCTGGGTTGTGACTGCTATAAATTCATCTAGTTTCTTCTCCGGCTGTTCCCGAGGCTGACGTCTGGGTGAGTCCAGCTATTTGGAGCGGGTGGCTGAAATAGCCTGGGGAAGAGTGGGGAGATTGTTTCAAGGGGCAGAATTTGGCTAGAGGTTCCTCCTGCCAGCCTTCAAGTCTATCCTTCAACAATGTTTCTGGAATGTTTCTTTTATGTTTATCAATATTTGGTCACTATGTGTGCCAGTGCATGTGTGTGGGGAATGGGGGTCAGGAACAGTGAAATGGCTCATGCTCACTCCCCCAGAAAGTGGATAGATGGGATGCATGCAAGGAAATGAGCATATTTAGAAACCAAGGGACAGAGAAGGTAAAGGTCAGGGTTGGGGAGCACTAAGGTTAGGGATAGGGTAGCACAGAGGTGAGGCAGAGTCCAGATGTGGATGGAAAGTTTGATGCAGTGGGACCTGGGAGGGTCGGCAGAGCTGGTGGATCTGTCTGGAGTACCCCCTCTCCTCCTGCCACCTGCCAAATGCGTAGGGGATGGACTTGACAGGGGTTGGCGGGGAGTGGGCGATGCAAGACGTGAGGAGTGGAGAGGCAGGAATGGAGACAGAAGGAGAGTTGGACATGTTTGAGGTGTTTTGAACATTAAACTGGGTTTTTATGATTTCCAGTTTGGAGAGTTCGAAAGCTTCATAAGCTTTCCCTGGTGGCTCAGATGGCAAAGAATCTGCCGGCGATGCAGGAGACCTGAGCTCATAGGGCTTCTCCCTTCCTGTGATCCTTTTCTAAATTCAATACTATGAAGAGATCAATTCCAAACAAAGCCAATGTGCTCATCCATCCAAAATCTAGAAATTGTGTATGATCAAGAGATATAGCAGCTGATTTCAAGTCTTTGTGGAACTTGAAGTCTAGTTAGGAAACCGAGACATTGAACACTACAATGTGATTGAACACTACTCCGTGTGATAAAACCTGGGAAAGTGTTTTTGTTTTTTAACAATCTGATTTTTGGTTTTCCCTGGTGGCTCAGATGGTAAAGAATCTGCCTGCAATGCAGGATGGGTTCTCTCCCTGGGTCAGGAAGATCCCCTGGAGAAGGAAATTGCAAACCACTCCAGTATTCTTGCCTGGAGAACTCTAAACAAACCTGGTGGGCTACAGTCCATGGGGTCACAAAGAGTCCGACACAACTGAGCAACTAACACTTTCACTTTCATCTATATTTTTTTTTATCATCTTCAACCATTTTTTCCTCCTACTTGACTGAGATACCTACTTAAATGGTGGAAGAAATGTTCTCACACTTTTTTATGCCAAGAAAAATGCAATGTTAGGGGCATGACTCAGAAATCAGTGACCCTAGTGTAAATCTTGCCTTTGTCCCTCCTGGCTGTGAAACTCTGGGCAAGTCACTTAGCCTAAGACTCAGTTTCTACTTCCATACCATGGAACTAGGAATATAATTTTTCAGTTTTGTGCATCAGTACAACACCTAACTCATGAGAAGCTCTCAATAAATGTGAGTTTTAATAATTATTATAATTGTGAATTTTGCAAGGAGAGATTAAAGAAATGTATATATTTATCATTCTTCCTTATCACCCCAAGGTCCATCCCATTTCAGTTTTAATCAATCAATGTGCTGATAAAGGGGTTGTTGCAGATTATGCCTTCCTCTGCCTGTTTCTATGTTCTCTTTCCTTCTCTCTAGACATATACTGTTCTGTTATCACCATCATCACTCATTCCTGGCATCCTTTCTTCTCTTGTCCCTCATTCCTCTTTCCTCGGTTCAAAACAGAAATAAGAAACCAGAGTCTTTCAGGTGGAAGGAAGGTAAAAAAATCTTTTCCACTCTGCCATTTTATAGATGCGGAAACTGAAGTTGAAAAATGGTAGGGAGATCTTCCAGGGTCATCCATAGCCAGTAATCAGTGGGATCAAAGTTCTCTTGGTGATACATCAAGGTGGCATCAGGAAACGGTTAAAGACTGACTGCATTGCACTGTTAATGTGATTGTGTTGGTGATTTTGTTTCTCTCCATAGGGGCACCTTTCTTCCATGGCTCAGGACACACACCTGGGTCGAGCCAATAGGAAAACTTTCTGGTAAGACTTTGACTCACTTTTAAAAGCTAAAGGTGGCAACTTGTTAGAATCCAGTGATTTTTTTTTTCCTTTCAATTTTCTGGGTTTTTGATACTTTAGTTCTCTCTGAGGGTAAATTTCTGAAAAGACTTCTTAACCATATGCTGTTTGCACCACCCAACTTCCAAGTGTGGATTTATGCCCAAGGACTCTGACTGGGGCTGCCGATAAGCATGGTGAGTGTTCGCTGCAAGCTGGCTCGTTACCTGGAGGACCTGGAAGACATAGACTTTAAGAAATTCAAGATGCATTTAGAAGACTATCCCAGTCAGAAGGGCTGCACCTCAATTCCTCGGGGTCAGACAGAAAAAGCAGATCATGTGGATCTAGCCACACTGATGATTGATTTCAACGGGGAAGAGAAGGCATGGGCCATGGCCAAGTGGATTTTTGCTGCCATCAACAGGAGAGACCTTTACGAGAAAGCTAAGAGGGATGAGCCAGAATGGGGTGAGTGGAATGAAGACAGTACTTTTTTAAAATCATGATAAAATACACATAGGATAAAATTTACTATCAGCCATTTTTAGTGTATGACGCAGTGGTGGTAAGCTCATTCACACTGTTGTTCAATCAATCTCCAGAACGCTTTTTCATCTTGCAAAACTCTGTACCCATGAAACAATTCTACCCTCCCCTCAGCCCCTGACAACCACTTTCTGTTTCTATGAATTTGACTATCTAGTACCTTTTATAAGTGGAATCATAGAATATTTGTCTTTTTGTGTATCAGCATAAACTTCCTCAAGCTTCGTGCACATTGTCTCATATGGCAGGATTTCATTCATTTTTAAGGTGGAATACTATTTTGTGGCATGTGTATACCACAGTTTGTTCATTCATTCATCCATCATTGGACTTGCTAATTGCTTTTAGCTTTTGACTATTGTGAATAATGCTTCTATGAACATGATTGTACAAATCTCTTTGAGATCTTGCTTTCAGTTCTTTTGGGTTTATTTCCAGAAGTGGAATTACTGGCTTATATGATAATTCTAGTTTAATTTTTTGAGGAATTGCCATAATGTTTTCCACAGTAGATGTGCCATTTTACATTCCCACTAACAGTGCACAAGGGTTCTGATTTCTTCACATCCTTACTAACATTTATGTTTTCTTTTTTTTGATAGTAGCAGTCCTAATGGGCATGAGATGTTATCTCATTTGTATTTCCCTATTGACTAGTGATATTGAACCTCTTCTCATGTGCTTGTTAGCCATTTGCTTATCTTTGGAGAACTGACTATTCAAGTTCCTTTCCCATGTTTTAAATGGGTTGTTTGTCTTTTGCTGTTGACCTTTAGGAGTCCTTTATATATATCCTGGATCTTAACCTGTTATCAAATATATGATTTGCAAATATTTTCTCCCATTCTGAGGGTTGTCTTTTCACTCTGTTGATGGTATCCTTTGACAAATCAAAGCTGATATATATTTTTTTAATCACTTATTATCTTGGCTTTATCATCTATTTTTGCTTCTCATGATAGTGCTATGAGAAGATGGAGGAAAGCAGTTTTCTTTTTTCTAACTCCTTTAAAAACCTGTCAGGGCTCACATACCCATAAGAAACTTCACACTTTATTCACATCTCTCCCAGGCCTGGACTTCCACCAAGTCTTCATCTAGCACCTAAGTATCTACCTGCATGGTCAACAAAATTGGATCTCTGCTTCCCATGGCTTAGGGGCAATCTCTCAGCTTAGAGGAGTATGTAATTTCTGCAGAAAAGCTTTTCCTATGGCCATTAATTTGGGCATTGGAATTGGTGAAAGAAATCCTCTTCATCTCTGTGGACATATGGTGAGGTTCTTCCTTCTGGCTTGGTGTTCTGAGCAAGGGAAGGGTACAAGAAAGGGCTCAGAGGAACCTAGAAAATCACAAGATGATGATGTTGAGCTAGTGAAAAAGAGTAATAAAAATAAATCAGTGTTTCTGAAACAGACAAAAATGGTGGTGTATATGTAGTACATGTATGCCATTTGAAGTCAGTTTTATAGACGTAAACTTCTGTTTTCTAATGAATTATTTTCTATTTACCTGCTTTTTCTTCTAACATTGTTTTGTCCACATTGGCATATCTAAAAGTTAATTTAAAAAGTATTTATACTGGCAAATATAAAATAGATCAGTAGATCACAAGCAGAGTGAGGTGGGGGAGAAATATGGATCTAATGAGGGAGATAAAAAATAGGGGCATGAAGGCAGGTGTGTTTATCAGTGTGATGTTATAAACAAATTGTTTATAATAGCATAATTATAATTGTGTCAGTACTGACATTTTCAATAACCATGTTAAAGTGTAATAATCAAGGTTGCTTCCCTGGTGGCTCAGATGGTAAAGAATCTTCTTGCAATGTGGGAGACCTGAGTTGGATCCCTGGGTTGGGAAGCCCCCTTGGAGAAGGGAATGGCAACCCACTCCAGTATTCTTGCTTGGAGAATTCCATGGACAGAGGAGCATGGTGGGCTACAGTTCATGCGGTCACAAAGACTCAGACAAGACTGAGGGGCTGACACTTTCACTTTCAATCGTGGTTGCAGAAGTAGTTCCCTAAGGAGATTTTATGGGTTTTATTTATTCCTCACAAGAACCCCTGGAGGCCTGTGCTTTTTCAAATAAGTTTTCAATTTCATTATACTAAGTGATATAAGTCAATCACAAAAAGACAAATATTCTGTGATTCCATTGTAACAGGTACCTGGAGTAGACAAATTCATAGAGACAAAGTGGTGGTTTCCAGGGGCTGCAAGGAATGGGGAATGGAGAACTGTTGTTTAATGGATTTAAAGAATTTCATTTTCACAAGAGGAAAAATAATTCTGGAGAATGGTTGCAAAACCATGTGAAATGAGCCTGGGAAAAGTTACAGTTGTCCATGGCTCTGTTCTAACCAGAGCCAAGCCTGGATTCAATGCCAAGTATCTCTTTGGTGGAATAACCATTATGCCATTTGGCTTATACATATAGGTTTTGGGGGTGGAAGGATTACACGTAGGGTTAGAAGTTTTTTTTTTTGGGGGGGGTTTGTTTTTTGTTTCAGGGAGCTAGCTGGTGTTACATTTTAGGTAAAAATGGTTTGAGTTAATGTTTAGATTTTATTTTGTGGTTTGGTGTGTGTGGGTTAACAGCATTTGCATTCAGAACAAGTAGATACCTCAGGAATCTTTTATATAGCTCTGGAGTTCCTGCCCACCTAAATTTATCTGTCCTATGCATTTGCCCTGGTACCTATCTCTTGTTCTGCTGTGTCTAATTTCTCTTATAAGATACCTCTTTGGATATGTTCTTTATTGATTGTTCAGGTCTATAATTCTCAGCTGTGGATGCATGTGGGCCTTTTAAAATAAAAAGGTGCCTTCTCCTTGATACTGTGTAATGACCTATATGGGAGTAGAATCTAAAAAAGAGTATATATGTGTATATATAAGTGTGATTCACTTTTCTGTACAGCAGAAAACTAACAGCATTGTAAATCAACCCTACTCCAATGAAAATTATTTTAAAAATAGATGAATATAATGGTGTCTGGGCTCCACCTCAGAGAACTGAAAAAGGATCATTGGGAGTAGAGTCCTAGAATCAATTTTCTAAAAACTTTCTAAGCGAATCTAAAGTTAGTCAGGATTCTGAATTAGATGTAAGTCAGATGGGTTATTCTTGCTTTTGAAGACTCCAAATAAGGGTCAGATGAATTCCAGGCATTTGGGCTCAAGGGCAGATGATACTGTTGGCGTTTGACCATCCTGGGGATACCTGAGAGTGTGGCGAAGGCCTTAAAACCAGAGCACAAGGGAGGGAATCTGCCAAAGCCAAATGAGGATGAGAAACTTTGATGCCTCATATGTTTGCCTTCTGATTTACAGGCTTGGGAGATAGATTCCAAGACTGGATACAATGAGGACACAATATTAGTTGGTATTCATTGCTTTGAAATTAGGAGTACAGGAATGCTTCCAGCTGGACATTCAACTGAGCTGTATTTTGGTTTGGGAGATGTTCAGGGCAGGTGGCTTTGACCTGTGCCAAATGTTGGCTATTGGATTTCAATTGTTTTTGTTGTTCAGTTGCTCAGTTGTGTCTGACTCTGAGACCCCACGGACTGCAGCACGCCAGGCTTCCCTGTCCTTCACCATCTTCCGGAGCTTGCTCAAACTCATGTCCATTGAGTCCATGATACCATCAAATCGTCTCATCCTCTGTCATCCCATTCTCCTCCTGCCTTCAATCTTTCCCAGCATCAGAGTCTTTTCTAATGAGTTGGCTCTTTGCATCAGGTGGCCAAAGTATTGGAGTTTCAGCTTCAGCATCTGTCCTTCCAATGAATATTCAGGGTTAATTTCCTTTAGGATTGACTGGTTTGAACTTCTTGCAGTCCACAGGACTCTTAAGGGTCTTCTCCAACACCACAGTTCGAGAGCATCAATTCTTTGGTGCTCAGCCTTCTTTATGGTCCAACTCTCACATCCATGCATGACTACTGGAGAAACCATAGCTTTGACTAGATGGACCTTTGTCTTTGGGTTTCAATGACATCACCTTAATCAGGAGACCTGGTTTTTGACGCTTTGTATTTTCTTCCTTTAATTCTCAGAGAATGCAAATGTTTCTGTACTAAGTCAGGAAGAAAGCCTTGAAGAAGAATGGATGGGTTTACTGGGATACCTTTCCAGAATCTCTATTTGTAGGAAAAAAAAAGGTAAGCAATATAGGTGGTACTTCTGATTGGGTTTAGAGACCTGGTTCTATAGGTACTTGAAGCTCAGAAGGTGGATAACTTGGTGATCCTAACATGTTCCTTGGGGTGAAAAGGTCTGTCTTAGGAAATCCACTTTAGCTTAAGAAATAGACTCCTTGCAGTCCCAGAACCATGGGTGGGCAACTGAATGTTTCAGGTTTTATAGGGCATGAGCTGCAGACTACGTAAAGGAGTAAGATTGAATGAAAAAGGACTTTCTGGTCAGGGCCAATACATATGGCATTTTGCTATTCTTCTGTTCAACTGTGTCTAGGAAGATTTTGACACCCTGTATTTTCTGGGGCTATCCATACCCCAGGCAGTGGCAAGAAACTGCAACTCCCATTTTTCAATATCAGTTTCCATTCCTTAGAGACCACCAGCCCCTGTTGATAGCTTGTCTCTGGTGGATGTGGTCAAGCTTCTTCTGAAGTCTAACTTTCTGTCTCTGACACAGATTACTGTAAGAAGTACAGAAAATACGTGAGAAGCAAATTCCAGTGTATTGAAGACAGGAATGCCCGACTGGGTGAGAGCGTGAACCTCAACAAACGCTTCACCAGGCTGCGCCTCATCAAGGAACACAGGAGCCAATGGGAGAGGGAGCATGAGCTCCTGACCATTGGAAGGACCTGGGCCAAGATACAGGATAGTCCTGTGAGTTCTGTGAACTTGGAATTGCTGTTTGATCCTGAGGACCAGCACTCTGAGCCTGTGCACACGGTGGTATTCCAGGGAGCAGCGGGCATCGGGAAAACAATACTGGCCAGGAAGATCATGTTGGACTGGGCATCAGAGAAACTTTACCAGGATAGATTTGACTATTTGTTTTACATTCACTGCCGGGAGGTGAGCCTTGGGACGCAGAGGAGCCTGGGGGATCTGATCGCCAGCTGCTGCCCTGGCCCAAACCCACCCATAGGCAAGATTGTAAGCAAGCCTTCCAGGATCCTCTTCCTCATGGACGGCTTTGACGAGCTTCAAGGTGCCTTTGATGAGCACACGGAAGCACTCTGCACGAACTGGCAGAAGGTGGAGAGGGGAGACATTCTCCTGAGCAGCCTCATCAGAAAAAGACTGCTTCCTGAGGCCTCACTCCTCATCACCACAAGACCTGTGGCTCTGGAGAAACTTCAGCACTTGCTGGGCCAGGCTCGTCATGTGGAGATCCTGGGTTTCTCAGAGGCCAGGAGGAAGGAATATTTCTTAAAGTATTTCTCAGATGAGCAGCAAGCAAGGGAAGCCTTCAGGCTGATTCAGGAGAATGAGATCCTCTTCACCATGTGCTTTATTCCTCTGGTCTGCTGGATTGTGTGCACTGGGCTGAAACAGCAGATGGATAGTGGCAAGAGTCTTGCTCGGACATCCAAGACCACTACTGCAGTGTATATCTTCTTCCTCTCCAGCTTGTTGCAATCTCAGGGAGGGAGTCAGGAGAACCACAACTCTGCTACCCTCTGGGGTCTCTGCTCATTGGCTGCAGATGGAATCTGGAATCAGAAAATCCTATTTGAGGAGTGCGATCTCAGAAATCATGGCCTGCAGAAGGCAGATGTGTCTGCTTTCTTGAGGATGAACCTGTTCCAAAAGGAAGTGGACTGTGAGAAATTCTACAGCTTCATCCACATGACTTTCCAGGAGTTCTTTGCTGCCATGTACTACTTGCTGGAAGAAGATAATCATGGGGAGATGAGAAAGATGCCTCAGTGTTGTTCAAAGCTTCCCAACCGAGATGTGAAGGTCCTTCTCGAAAACTATGGCAAATTCGAAAAGGGATATCTGATTTTTGTTGTCCGTTTCCTCTTTGGCCTTATAAACCAGGAGAGAACCTCCTACTTAGAGAAAAAACTGAGCTGCAAGATCTCTCAGAAAATCAGGCTGGAGCTGCTGAAATGGATTGAAGCAAAAGCCAAGGCCAAGACACTACAGACTGAGCCCAGCCAGCTGGAACTGTTCTATTGTTTGTATGAGATGCAGGAGGAGGAATTTGTGCAAAGGGCCATGGGCCATTTCCCCAAAATTGAGATCAAGCTGTCCACCAGAATGGACCATGTGGTTTCTTCTTTTTGTATTGAGAACTGTTGCCATGTGGAATCCCTTTCCCTGAGGTTGCTCCATAACTCACCCAAGGAGGAGGAAGAAGAGGAGGAAGTTAGACACTCTCATATAGACCATTCTGTTCTCTCTGATTCTGAGGTTGCATATCCTCAGCGGTAAGGAGATCTTGCTTCAGGCAATTGGTACTATATGTCTTCTACTTTCTACTGATTCTTGGCACTTACTCTCCTTTGTCTTCAACAGTCTTGCAAATGCAGTTTACACAGCTACAAAACAATGCCATCATCACTCATTTCTATCAGACTCCTTCATTGGCAGATATTGACTAGTAGAGGAAGAGTAGGTGGACAAATGACATGAGAAAAAAACCAGTGAGCAAATGTTTGGTGGATGCCAATTTAGCACAATGTGTTATGTGAAAAAAAGAATGGAAGAAAATGTTCATAAACTCAAATTGCTTGTAATTTACTTGGGTCTTTATTGCTTAGTATCCTGTCCCCTAAGAGGCAGAACAACCTGTATGACTGCCCAGGAACACAGAGGACAGAGGACCTCAGTGTGGGATGCTTGGGGGAGATTTCTTGGAGGAGTGAAGTTTGAGCCTGCCTTGAAAGATTGAGAGAATGTAGGTGGGTGGCAGAGAAGGAAAAGGGATTTTTTATTTCCTAGACAATCTCTTTTAAGAAAAATAATTAATTAATTTATTTTTGGCTACGCTGATCTTGCTGTGTGTGGGGTTTCTCTAGTTGCTGCAAGCAGAGGCCAATCTCCAGTTGTGGTGCACAGGCTTCTCATTGGGGTGGCTTCTCTTGTTATAGAGCACGGCTTTGGGCATGCAGGCTTCAGTAGTTGTGGCACGTGGGCTTAACTGGCCTGTACAGGTGGAATCTCTCAGGAAGAGGGATGGAACTCGTGTCACCTGCATTGGCCGGCAGATTCTTAACCACTGGATCGCCAGAAAAGTCCTGGCAGTGGCGTCTTTATATGAAGGAGACATGAATGTGGTCTGAGGAAGAGTGTTTATGTAGGAGAAAATGGGGAGGGACATGGCTTCACTGGAACAACCAGTGAGGGGAAATAGGGCTGGAGAGGAGAGAGTGCTCCAAGGCCCTCACCTTGCGCTTGCAGCCAGGCATTTGTCAACAGCTAGGGCTTCCCAGGTGGCTCAGATGGTAAAAAATCTGTCTGCAAAGCAGGAGACCCTGGTTTGTTCCCTGGGTCAGAAAGACCCCATGAAGAAGGGTATGGCAACCCCTCCACTGTGCTTACCAGGAGAGTTCCATGGACAGAGGAGCGTGGTGGCCTACAGTCCATGGGATCGCAAAGAGTTACACATGACTGAGGAACTAACACTTTCATTTGTCAACAGCACCAGCTTCAAGGTCTGTTTACTCAGTTGCTAGAGGGTTGGAAGTCAGTTGTGTGTGTTCATTGAAAGGGTTGAGTTACTTGACTTCTAAATCCTTGGGCAGAAACTACCACAGCTTCAGTGGCTGTGGGCGGGTGTCTGCTCTGTGAATGCTTGGGTTTGACCTCTATAGAGGACACCTGACATGGGACAAAATTAAGGAGAAAAGGAGCTGGCCCTTTCACTGGCAGCAGTAAGCTTTCAGCTCCCTCTGTTTTCCTTGGCACCGCTACCACGATGACTTTTCCATTTATTGTTGGGTCGTCAAGGACTACCTGCTGAGGCTTCAGTAGTGGCTAAGACCCAGGTCCTGTTCACAACAATGGGTGGGGCCAGGCAGGAAACCAGGGCTCTTGGTAGAGGGGGTGGGCCTTGGCAAGAATATTGGTGGAGTGCATCTGAAGCACACAGGGCCAGCTGGATCCTGAAGGATGGAGCATGAAAGAGCCAAGGATGCACAAGGGGCAGCCCAGACCAAGGGGACGGTGTGTTCAAAGAGTGGGATGGGGAAGCAGGGTACATTTTGACAATGGCAAATAGTTCAGAATAGCTAGAAAGAAGATGGAAGAGGGAGAGAGCAAGAGCCGGGGGGACTACAGCATCTACAGAAGAGCCTAATATAGTTTGCAAATCCTGTGAACTTTCATTTTCAGTCTTTAGAAAGAAGCATGTATGTTATGATTGCAAGAAAGATTTTTGCTCAGTTTGTTCAGTCTTACAAAAATAATCTCCATAGATGTTCCACTTATCACTTATTACAGAAGATGGCCTTTCAGTGCTCTCAGTTAATGCAACTGAAAGTGAAGGATCTCTGGCAGTATCTCATTCTTAGAAGCATACTAATTGATGCCTGTCGAGAAAAAGAAGACTTGGTAGATTTGGTACTGTGCCACCAGGGGCTCGGTTCTGAGGACAACATGGACATGAGCAGCCTGAACTCCTCAAGGTCCCAGACTTCTAGCTTTTTTGCACATTGATTTTTTTTTTTTCAAACTATACAGCCCCATTTGCTACCATGTCTTGAGAGAAGATCTCACTAGGGCACTAAAAATGAGGCTCAGAATCTGTGCCGCCCTTCTTGCTTCTACTTGAGCTTAGTCTCCGGCATTGCCGTGCAGACTAACTCATGTAGAAGCAAGAAAGGAAATCTTACACCACCAGACAATTTTTGGAGGTCTTGTGAGATTAAGCAAGACCAATATATATAAAAAAAAAAATGAGGCTCAGAAAACAAGACACCTGACTAAGATCACAGGATTGTGAAGAAGGCTGTCAGAAACTCAGATTAAAACCTTGAAGAAAAGCTTGATGCCCATCATGCTAGATGATAGCTACCTTCTTCTGAGGACAGGAGCTTGCTTTGTGTGTTGTAGAGCCTTTGAAGGACTAGCGGCATGAGCACCTCCCTGGTGCCTGCTAGAAGTGAAGGATTGCAGGCCTGATCCTAGACCCATGGAATCATAATCTTCATTTTCACAGGAGTAGCACTTTGGAATCACCTGGAAGTCTTAAAAATATCAATATGCTTGGTCCTACCTCAGAAATTCTGGCTTTATTCCTATGATGTGGCCTGGCATAGGGATTTTTGTGATCATAACTGATGCTATTATGCAGCTAATGTAAGAACCAGCCTCTGAGTCATTTAGCAGAGTGTCCAGGGCCATGGGCAGGGCAGCCAATTGATGAAGGAGGAGAAAGATTCCTGAGGTAGCAACCAGAGGCTCTTTACAGTCAGCCAAAGTCACAGGCTGGTTTGCAGTTTTAAAAATATTATTTTTCATTGAGATACAGTTGATATACAGTGTTTCCAGTGTATAACATAGTGATTCATAATTTAAAAAAATTTTTTTTAATTAAAAAAAAAATTAAATTGAAGGACAATTGCTTTACAATATTGTGTTGGTTTCTGCCATGCATCAACATGAATCAGCCATAGGTATACTTGTGTCCTCTCCCTCTCGACCCTCCCTCCCACCTCCCTCCCGATCCCACCCCTCTAGGTTGTCACAGAGCCCCCAGTGTGAGTTCCCTGAGTAATACGGCAAATACCCATTGGCTACCTATTTTACATATGGTGATTCACGATTTTTAAAGGTTGAATTCCATTTATAGCTATTGGTGATATTCCTTGTGTTGTACAACTTATTCTTGTATTTTATTTATTTTACACATAGTAATTTGTATTTCTTTTTTTTTGACTTTTTGTTTTGTATCGAGATATAGCTGATTAACAAGCAATGTTGTGATAGTTTCAGGTGAAAAGAGAAGGAACTCAGCCATATATATACATGTATCCATTTCTCCTAACTCTCCTCCCATCCAGGCTTTCATATAGCATTGAGCAGAGTTTCATGGTTTCATGTTCCATGCAAGAAGATCCTTCTTGGTTATCCATTTTAAATATGACAGTGTGTACATGTCTATTTCAAACTCCCAAATTATTCCCTCCCCTCATCCTTTTCCCATTTTAGTTTTTTAAATTGAAGTATAGTTGATTTGCAATGTCATATTAGTTTTAAACCTATAGCACAGAGATTCCGTTATATATATATATGTTTTATATATATATGCACACATATATATACTTTTTCAGATTATTTTCCTAATAGGTTGTTACAAGTTATTGTTCCCTGTGCTATACAGTAGATCCTTGTTGGTTATCTATTTTATATACAGTAGTGGTGGTGGCTTAGTTACTGTCGTGTCTGAACCTTTGTGACCGCATGGACTTTAGCCCGCCAGGCTCCTCTGTCCATGGGGTTCTCCAGGCAAGAATACTGGAGTGGGTTGGCAGTTCCTTCTCCAGGAGATCTTCCCGACCCAGGGATTGAACCCACATCTCCTGCTTGACACGGGCTTTCTTTACCACTGTGTCTCCTGGAAAGCTGTATATAGTAGTGTGTGTATGTTAACCCCAACCTCCTAATTTATCTCTTCTTCTCCTTCACCTTTGATAACTGTAATTTTGTTTTCTATGTCTGTGAGTTTTTTTCTGTTTTGTAAATAAGTTTATTTGTATTATTTTTTAGATTCCACATATGAGTGATATCATATACTATAATACCCTCTAAGTCCATCCAAGTTGTTGCAGATGACAAAATTTCATTATTTTTGTATTTTTCAATTGGAAAATAATTACTTTACAATGTTGTGTTGGTTTCTGCCATACATCAACGTGAATCAATCATACCTCTGTATATATGCATCCCTTCTCTCTTGAGCCTCCTCACTCCCATCCCACCCTCTAGGTTGTCACAGAGTGCCAGGCTGGACTCTGTGTGTTAGATAGCAGTGTTCCACTGGTTATCTATTTTGCATATGGTAGTGTATATATGTCAAAGCAAGCTCTGGGAGTTGGGGATGGATAGGAAAGCCTGGTGTGCTGCAGTCCATAGGGCCACAAAGAGTTGGACATGACTGACTAAGCAACTGAACCGACCTGAACTGATATGTCAATGCTACTTTCTCAATTTATCCCACCCTCTCCTTCTCCTGCTGTGTCCATGAGTCCATTCTCTATGTCTGCGTCTCCATGGCTGAATAGTATTCCGTTGTGTGTGTGTGTTTGTGTACGTATATATCATACCTTCTTCATCTATTCATCACAGGCTCTTTTTATTTTTTAAATTAATTTGTTTATTTTAATTGGAGGCTTATTACTTTACAGTATTGTAGTGGTTTTTGCCATACATCGACATGAATCAGCCATGGGTGCACATGTGTTCCCCATCCAGAAGCCCCCTCTCACCTCCCTCCCCATCCCCCAGGGTCATCCCAGTGCACCAGCTCTGAGCACCCTGTCTCTTGCATCAAACCTGAACCAGCAAGCTGCTTCACATATGATAATATACATGTTTCAACACTACCCTCTCAAATCATCCCACCCCTGCCCTCTCCCACAGAGTCCAAATGACTGTTCTTTACATCTGTGTCTCTTTTGCTGTCTCGCATATAGGGTCATCGTTACCATATTTCTAAATTCCATATATATGCGTTAGTATACTGTATTGGTGTTTTTCTTTCTGACTTACTTCATTCTGCATAATAGGCTCTAGTTTCATCCACCTCATTAGAACCAATTCAAATGCATTCTTTTTAATGGCTGAGTAATATTCCATTGTGTATATGTACCACAGCTTTCTTATCTATTCGTCTGTCGATGGGCAGCTAGGTTGCTTCCATGTCCTGGCTATTGTAAACAGTGCTGCGATGAACATTGTGGTACACGTGTCTCTTTCAATTCTGGTTTCCTCAGTGCATCACAGGCTCTTTTAATCATAAAATGTGCAGAACAGCCTTACCAGGACTCCTCTGGCCTTTTGCATTCCTCAGTGCCCAGTCTTTGGTTCTGTGACTCATTTCTTGATCCCTAGGATGCCTTTGCACTAGTGTCAGCCACTCCTGGCTCCAACTTCAGTTTGCTATTCTTAGAGATTCACTTTGTTTTCTCTTCTTCCTTCCTTCCAATTTCTAGGTTGGTGAGCTATCTGACCACCAGCATTTGTAGCGGCATCTTCTCAGTCCTGAGCAATAACTGGAACCTCACTGAATTGAACCTCAGTGGCAATACCCTGGGGGACCCAGGCATGAAGGTGCTGTGTGAAACACTCCAACAACCGGGTTGTAACATTCGTAGATTGTGGTAAGAATCTGCGCGCGTGTATGTGTATACGGGTTTGTACATGTGTGTGTGTGAGAAAGACAGAAAGGGAGAAGAAGGACCATGTTAGCAGTTTATTAGTTTTCTAAGGCTATCATAACCAAGTACCACAGAGTGGGAGACTTAAATGAGAGAAGTTAACCTTCTCACAATCCTGGGAGCTGGAGGTCCCAGATGAAGTTGTCAGAAGTGTTGGTTTCTTCTGCTGCTTCTGTCCTTGGCTATAGATCGCTGTCCTCTCCCTGTGTCTTCACATGATCTCTGTGCGTGTGTCTGATCTCTTCTTCATACAAGGACATCAGTCGTGCTGGATTAGGGCCTGCCCTAATGAAGTCATTTTAACTTAATTACCTTTTTAAAGCCCAATGTAGTTATATTCTAAGGTGCTAAGGGTTGAGACTTCAACATGAACTTTTTTGGGGGGAGACAGCTCAGTCTATTACAAATGGGAAGGCCAAATGTTTTGGAGGACAGTTATTTGCGAAGTTTCAGATGGGGAAGAATAAAGGGGAACTGAAAATAAGTCATTTGTTGGTGGTAGGAAAGGGCATTACTTTTAGGGTCTTCCATTTCTTCATTAGCCACGCTTATAGATGAGAATAGAAGAGTTTCATCAAATACAGAAATGGCTACCTGAGCTGGAACCCATCAAAATATTTTGCATGGATTAAATTGTCACAGGGCATGTCTTGTGGTTCTATAATAAAGTGCTTGCTATGAGCCCACACTATGATAAACACCCTCTTCTAACAACACAAAAAATGACTCTATACATGGACATCACCAGATGGCCATACTGAAATCAGATTGATTATATTCTTTGTAGCTGCAGATGGAGAAACTCTATACAGTCAGCAAAAACAAGATCAGGAGCTGACTGTGGCTCAAATCATGAACTCCTTATTGCCAAATCAGACTTAAATTGAAGAAAGTAGGGAAAACTACTAGACCATTCAGGTATGACCTAAATAAAATCTGTTATGATTATACAGTGAAAGTGAGAAATAGATTCAAGGGATTAGGTCTGATAGACAGAGTGCCTAAAGAACTATGGACAGAGGTTTGTGACATTGTACAGGAGGCAGTGGTCAAGACCATCCCCAAGAAAAAGAGACACAAAAGGCAAAATGGTTGTCTGAGGAGGCCTTACAAATAGCTGAGAAAAGAAGAGAAGCTAAGGGCAAAGGAGAAAAGGAAAGATATAGCCATTTGAATGCAGAGTTCCAATGAATAACAAGGAGAGATNTACCCTTCCAAGCAAGCTCTGAAGCCTGTAATATGTAGATTAGCCTTGACTGTGAGCAGGCTGATTTGGATGGAGGTCCTACATTTCCAGCCAGAAATTCTGGTTTTTGAAGGATGTCAGCACTGAGTCTTTACACACCCACCTGGCTTTCCAGCAACGTGAGGATTTTGTTTTCCTAAATTGGGCCAATTGCTTTACCTTTTCCTGCCCCCAAAGAAGTGCACCTCTGATTGTTTAAGTCTTTGAGTCTATAGTGAAATTCTAGAAGAGAAGAGGGAAGAGCAGTTAACTATCAAATGTAATTAGATAGGATGATCCACTGATCTTGCTGAAGAATGCTGAAGAAGCTGCAGTTGAAAGTGAAACAGGAGAGTGAAAAAGTTGGCTTAAAACTCAACATTCAGAAAACAAAGATCATGGCATCTGGTCCCATCACTTCATGGCAAATAGATGGGGAAACAATGGAAACACTGAAAGACTTTTTTTGGGGGGGGGTTCCAAAATCACTGCAGATGGTGACTGCAGCCATGAAATTAAAAGACGCTAGCTCCCTGAAAGTAAAGCTGTGACCAATCTCAGCAGCATATTACTTTAAATATTACATTACTTTGCCAACAAATTTCCTTCTACTCAAAGTTATGCTTTTTCTAGTAGTCATGTGAGAGTTGGACTATAAAGAAAGCTGAGTACCGAAGAATTGATGACTTTGAACTCTGGTGTTGGAGAAGACTCTTAAGAGTCCCTTGAACTGCAAGGAAATCCAACTAGTCTATCCCAAAGGAAATCAGTCCTGAATATTCATTGGAAGGACTGATGGTGAAGCTGAAACTCCAATACTTTGGCCACCTGATGCAAAGAACTGACTCATTTGAAAAGACCCTGATTGTGGGAAAGATTGAAGGTGGGAGGAGAAGGGGACGACAGAGGATGAGATGGTTGGATGGCACCACCACTCAACAGACATGAGTTGGAGTAAACTTTAGGAGTTCGTGATGGACAGGGAGGCCTGACGTGCTGCAGTCCATGGGGAAGCAAAGAGTTGGACACGACTGAGCGACTGAAGTGATGAGCCCGCACTATGAATTAGACTCACATGCCCTGAATCAAGTACATAGTTGTACGGGCCATCCCTCCAATTCTCCTTTGTCACAAATCTGGACTACACAGCCAGTTTTAAAGCCCACCACCTCAGGACATTTTCATACCTTTCTGTGCTGCTCTTAATAACCACCCTATCACCAGTCTTCTTAATTTCACCCCCGTACAAGCTGTTTTCCACTTTTCTTCATTCTGATTTTGTTACCATCCAGGGTCCTTAGACTTTTTTTTTGACTGTGCCACACAGTATATGGGATCTTAGTTCCTTGACCAGGGATTGAGCCCATGTCCTCTGTACTAGAAGTGGAGTCTTAACCACTGAATCACCAGGCAAGTCCCTTAGACTCTTTTTGCCTTTTGTTTGTCTACACCACTGGGCATGTGTGATTTTAGTTCCCTGACCAGGAATTGAACCCATGTTCCCTGCATTGAGAGTGCAGAGTCTTAATCACTGGACTGCCAGGGAAGTACCCTCATAGACTCTTTAACCAATAGAAATCAGTAAAATGCCAGATAAGAAAATTTAAGTTAAGTAAATAAGAAAGTAAAGCCATGGCTTTACTGAGCATAGTGCTGCAGCATGAGGGAGTGAAAACAAGTAAAGGTTCCCTTGCTGGCTCTCTGAGGTGGGGTGAGCTGGTTTCTTAAAGGCAGTGAGGGTAGGGCAGATCAGTGGGTGGGACCACAGGGATGGCTTAGGTGGTCTGCTCACTCCCTCAGTGGTACCGTGTGCAGGGATCATGTACAGTTACCCTACTTTTGCTCCTGGTTCTTCAGAAATGGCAGTTGGGGATTTTGGCCATTTTGTATCTTTTTATTCATAATTTGCCTCAACTATGCAGGCATGCAGTTATTTTTAGTCCCGTATAGTTTCTTTCTTTTTTTAATATCCCTATTTTTGGGCTACCTTGTGTGGCCAGGCCCCCTACATAAGACTTGTGGAGTCCCAACTACCGGACCACCAGGGAATCCTCCCTTATAGTTTCTTTTGTATTCTATTGCCCGAGGAGATGTTCATCCGGGTGCAAGCACTGCAGTGAAGGGTCCCAGGTCCCAGCCTGTCTCAACTCCAGCAGCCCAGACCTAACAACCACAATTATTTGCTTAGATATTGCATTGCCCTCCAAGACTATTAATTTCTCATGACAGGATTCACGTTTGTCCTGCAATTGTCTCTATAATGTCTGGACAAGCTCGTACCATTTGTTTGTGTTCAAAAGTACATATCAGATGAATGTTGTCTGTTTGGTGTCCCTGCATCTACTTTTGCCACCCACCATTCATTCTCTGTACAGAAGACAGAGGGTTGCTTAATATTAAAAAAAAATTATGCTTTGATCATGCCATTTCCTTGCTTAAGAGCTTTTTCTTACCTGTTTTGATAAATTATAAAATGTTCTTTTTGCCTTCAAGGTTCTGGCTGATTTTAACATTTAACATTCCTCTCTACCTTTATACTATGCCACTCTCTCCAACAACCCTGTGGATATGATGCCCCTTTGTGATTCTAGAAAGTGAGACACAAACAGGGAGACATGTGTGAGAATTAGATGTTCTGCAGATGAAGATTTAGTTATCTATTTGCTTCTAGTTGGTGTGGAAATGGAGGCAGAAAAGGTAATCCAACCAGCTCCTAGGACATTTGAAATGAGCTAGAATATTCTTGCTTCTCTGAGAGCGATGATTGTTTTGGTGGTGGTGCTGATAGTGGTGATAGCATGTGTCTGTATAAAGCAAACCAAGAATCAGAGATGCTCACTCCTTCAGTGTAGATGGAGGGCTGGGATTAAAACATCAAATGAAACAGCAGGGACAAGATTGTCCAAGAGAAAAGGAAGATGCATACAGCCCTAGAGAGAGCAGTATCCATCTGAGGGAGTTTCAGCTGTTAGAAACATGTGGTAAAGAGGTGGAGCCCATCGGCTAACCATTGTTTTCATTTATGAAACAGAAACATGCCATTTAAATGCTTGAGAATTGCTCATTATTTAGATGGTGCTCCCTGGCAGCTGTGGTCACAGATTGTGAGCCAGAGAGCCTGAGAACTATCTTCCCAACATGTCTTTTTTTATTTTTTTTTTTACTTATTTTTTAACTGAAGGAAAATTGCTTTATAATGTGTTGGTTTCTGCCATAGTACAAAGCAAATCACTCATAATTTTGCATATATCACTTCCTTTTTGAGCCTCCCTCTCTTCCCTCAACCCACCCTTCTAGGTCCTCACAGAGCACCAGACTGGGCTCCTTGTGTTGCATAGCAACTTCCCACCAGCTAATTACTTTAACAGAGTGTGTATATGTCAATGCTACTTTCTCCATTCATCCCGCCCTCTCTTTCCCCTACTGTGTCCACAAGTCCGTTCTCTATCTTTGTGTCTCCATTTCTTCCCTGCAAATAGGTTCATCAACATCATTTTTCTAGATTCCAAATATATGTGTTAATATACAATACTCGTTTTTCTCTTTCTGACTTACTTCACTGTGTATGACAATCTCTAGGTTCATCCAATTCACTAGAACTGACTTGAATTTTCCCAATGTGTCTTGAGCTGTAGTCAGGAGTTTCTGATAAGATGATACTTTCCTTTTTAAAAAAATATTTATTTATGTGTTTGGCTATGTCGTGTCTTAGTTACAACACTTAGGATCTTTGATATTCAAGGTGGCATGTGGGATCTAGTTCCTGACCAGCGATCAAACCCAGACCCCCAGCTTTGGGAGCACGGACCCTCACCCACTGGACCACAAGGGAAGTCCCAAGATAATACTTTCCTTCATGAAAATTTAGTTATAAATTCAGTTTAATTCTCTTTGTAACATGAGATCACAGTGCCCCTGCCTGGTGCTAAATCCCAGCAGAGACCAGAAGGCAGTGACAGAAAGCAGCCTATGCTCTGAGATCTTTCTGTTTCTGTGCTTGTAATGAAGGTTGGGACAGTGCTGCCTTTCCCATCAGTGCTGCTTCAACATCTCCTCAGTCCTGAGCAACAACCAGAAGCTGGTGGAATTGGACCTGAGCCACAACGCCCTGGGAGACTTCGGGATCAGACTTCTGTGTGTTGGACTGAGGCATCTATTCTGCAATCTGAAGAAGCTCTGGTGAGGCTGAACTAATTTCCCTCATGAAGCAATAGCTGTGGCTTTAATGAACCATGATGTGTTAGAATTTTAAAGTGAAAATGGCCTTGGGCTACTCAGAGGATTCCCTGTGTTTATCTCTGGATGTTTGTCAATAATTAGTTTAGTTAGCATTTTTTTGTGAGAAAAGTCACATAGCTGGAGGGGACCTTAAAAAATCAGAAATATTATGCTTGCCTTTAAGGTATTTACAACCTAACTAAGAAAATAAAACCAATGTATTTTGCTTTAGAAGAGTTTTGGGATTTGACGATAAGGCATTGGTGCACGTTAAATAGGAAAAATGGGACCAAAGCAATGCAGTTGCTTGACAGTTTATGTAGCTCTTCTCTGAATGCTTGTAGGAAACTTGAATTTTGAAGAAGACAAGAAATCAGTTGAAAATGGTAGGGCCAATTTATACTTGTTAGGGTGGCTATTATAAAAAAGCAAAACACAACAGGGCTATATATTCAGTAAAATAAGCCAGAGGCAAAAGGGAAAATATCATATGATTCCATTTATATGTAATACCTAGAATAGTCAAATTCATAGAGACAAGAGGTAGAATGGTGGTTTGCAGGGTTTTGGGGGAAGGGAATTTGGAGTTATTGTTTAATGAGTATAGAATTTCAGTTTGGGAATATGGAAAAGAGTTCTGGAGATGGACAGTGGTGATAGTTGCACAGTTATGGGAATATACTTAAGTGCTACTAAATTGTAACACTTATAAATGAACACATGTTTACAATGATACAGTTTATGCTATACATATTTTACCTCAATAAAACTAAATGTAGAGATCTAGGAAGATGTAACATTGCATGGGCTTTGAGGGTGTTTTCTTGCTATTACACCAAACAGAGAAAAAAAAATAGTTAATAAGAGCTTGGATATACTCTTCTTATGTGTAGACTGGACTATAGGCAAGGGCAGGACAAGTGCTTTCTTGACTCACAGCAGTGTGTGACTGGGTTGAGGGAGGTGTTGTGACCATCTGCCATCTCTCTGAAAGGTTGGTCAGCTGCAGTCTCACATCAGCATGCTGTGAGGACCTTGCATCTGTCCTGAGCACCAAACATTCCTTGACCAGACTCTACTTGGGGGAAAATGCTCTGGGAGACTCAGGAGTTGGGATTTTGTGTGAAAAAGTAAAGAATCCACACTGTAACTTGCAGAAACTGGGGTAAGTCTTCATGAACATCTCAGCAATAAAGTAACTTATTTTCAGTGATACATTATTGGGAAAATATGAATGGGGTTACTTTAAAAAAGATTAATCAGATGGAGTTGAGGGTAGAGAGTGGAAGAGACAATATCTGAAGTAGTTTGAAGTACTAGATACTACCTACTGCTAGTAAGTTTGTTATGTCTCAGTTCAGTTCAGTTCAGTCACTCAGTCATGTCTGACTCTGCGACCCCATGGACTGCAGCACGCCAGGCCTCACTGTCCATCACCAACTCCTGGAGTATACTCAAACTCATGTCCATTGAGTCAGTGATGCTATCCAACCGACCATCTCATCCTCTGTCATCTCCTTCTCCTCCTGCCTTCAATTTTTCCCAGAATCAGGGTCTTTTCCAATGAGTCAGTTCTTCGCATCAGGAGGTCAAAGTATTGGAGTTTCAGCTTCAACTTCAGTACTTCCAATGAATATTCAGGACTAATTTCCTTTAGGGTGGACTAGTTGAATCTCCTTTCAGCCCAAGAGACCCTCAAGAGTCTTCTCCAACATCACAGTTCAAAAGCATCAATTCTTCGGTGCTCAGCTTTCTTTATAGTCCAACTCTCACATCCATACATGACTACTGGAAAAACCATAGCTTTGACTAGATGGACCTTTGTTGGTAAAGTAATGTCTCTGCTTTTTAATATGCTGTCTAGGTTGGTCATAACTTTTCTTCCAAGGAGTAAGC